TTGCAGATGTAGTAGATGACCAAACCGAGCACCACTAGGATGAGGAGGGCGATGATGACCACTGCAGCGATCATGCCCTTCTCCTCACTGTCCCGTGAGAAACTGAACAGCTGGAACTGCTCACATCTGCTGCCCTCATAGTTCGCACTGCAACTACAGGACAGGACAGGGGTTTCAAGCAAAGCATTTCATAGGTATGCTATAATGTAAATGGCCAAAGAATAGATATTCTGTTTGTGAAGATACTTACACACATGTGGGAGTAGACACCGAGGGTATTTTAAAGCATGTTCCTCCATTCATGCAAAAGTTGGCTTCTGACCCAGTGCAAGGGTCACCGTGTTCTATAATAAGAGGAAACCCAAAGGAAACAAAAAATAAATGCATCATTTATCTAGCACACCTTTATCAGCAGAGCACTTTGTTTTTTTATTTTGCATTTAATTTGCATTTGCATTTCAAGAATTCCACATTACGGAAACAACAGCAAGTGTGATTTGCATATGATATAGTATTTTATATCAAATTAATTTTCTTGTTACATTTTATTATCTTTAATATTTTTCCCTGTGTTTTTAGATGTTTGTATTACCTGCCATCATGGGAAATACTAAATAGATCTTCTCGTAATGGAAATTTCAGCTGACAGCATTCACTTGATGATCACCTGAGAATAAAGTAAATGTGGTCAGGTTAGCTTACATTTGTCCAGAAAGATTACAATATGTTTTGATCAGTTGATTATTGGTTGCTTTCAACATTCATACAGAATAAGATTTCAACATTCATACAGAATAAATATGCAATATGATCATTATTAAAATCTTTATTAATCCGTCAATATATATGTGTATACATGTGTATATAAGTATTTTTATATTAACTGTTAAATTGTACTGTTATAGTATATATTCAAATATACTGTAATTATATTATCACGTTAAAAATAATATCATATATATTTCAAACACTCAGTTGATTGTATTGGCTCTGCAATATAAAGACAATTTATTTAATGAAAAATGTGAGAATTATTTAATATCTCAATTGTGACATGTGACAGCAATGATATTAAATGGAAAGCATGCTTCCCAGATTCTTTTTCTCGTGAAAAAGATCCTATTCTCACATGTCTCTTTAGAGTTTCAGACGAGACCTCAACAGGATCTCGAGCTGTGCTCAGATTTGCCAAGACACTAAAATCTAGTCAAATGTTATAGGTTTTCAACCCAAAATCAAATATTTGACATCAAAATCCACATTAACTTTATAGCTCTCTACTCAAACTATATGTCTCATTCATGTCTATTTGGATTTCTTCTTAGATTTCTTCTTTTAGGAGAAACATTTGAGACAAAGTTGATATTTAAATGAAGCATTACTAAGAATTCCATTCAGTCTTTACATTTTTTTCCCCCCAAAAAGCATAATTCATAAATTGCCTGTCTCAGGACTCACCTGTTTACCGTTTTTGTGCTTGACTTCATGCACTTTTCGAAGGCTTGAGTTTTTGAAAGTTTGCTGAGATGTACGAAATCCTAATGGCACGCTGTGTTTCAGGGAAATGGCAGTGAAGGCTTACCGTGCAGGTGAAATCCAGTGCAGGTGAGTCACCTCGTCTTCCTCAAATAACTTCTGAGCTAAACGTCACCGTGCGGTTCAGGGTCACATAAGCGCGGTGGGCGGATCCCTTTGAGCTCAGAAATGTTGTGATTGCTGTTTGTCCACATTTGTGAATGGAACGATTCTCATCATGCGTCGGTAGAACATAATGACAGGAGTTCATTTGTAGGGAATTACCTGCCGTTGCATCACAAACTTCCAACAAAAAAAGACTTTCTGTAACAAAGAAAGCTGCTCAAAAAAGTGAATCACCATATTTATTCCATCTTTTTGGATTTTCTTGTTTATTTTGAGCAGATTCAAACATTTAAGATTGGGTCATGACATGTTTTTCCATTGTAGACTTTAGGTTTCTTCAGATATGTATTACTAGAAACTGTGGGGGGTGATACTGTTATTTTAAGTGCGTTAAGAGCAGGTGTGGTTCTCAGTGAGACTGCTTTGCTCTCTCTTGTGTGTAGGCCGGCTGGGTTTGGTGTCAGACTCAGGTATGCCAGATATGCTAATAGGGAAGTTCTGTGCGCGTCTCAGGTATGCATGGAATCGTGGGAACTTTGCAGACTTTAATCGCTTGTTTACATTCCTCGTTTAAAGGGCACATGAAGGACAAAAGGCATCATCATGACTCAACATCATGTTGAGTCACCGAAAACCGTTAGAATGGGATAGTTTTGAGGTTTCGGTGCCCCAAGGCCAAATAACCACAACTTTAAATAATGGAAAAGAACAGAAATGTGTTTACATTGAAAAAGATACATTTTATGATCTTTTTATTTGTCATATTCCACAAATTCCTTAAAAAAAACTGTGGTTTAAAAAAATATATTTTAAGTAAAAAAAATACATTAGCTTTCAAAATGTTGGAATCGGTATGAATTTTGTCTTGAAATAATTTTTTTTATTTAGTCAAGACACATTAAATTGATCACACTGTAAATGCTAATAACAGTATTATGTTACGATTTCTATTTCAAATAAATTCTGTTCTTTTTAAACGTTCTATTCATCAAAGAATCCTGAAAATAAAATGTATCATGGTTTCCTCAAAAATGATAAGCAGCACAACTGTTTTCAACACTTATAATAATAAGAAATATTTCTTGAACAGCAAATCAGCATATTAGAATGATTTCTGAAGGATCATGTGACAAATTATGTTAACATATATGAAAATAGAAAACTTTTACATTTAAATGATATTTCGCAATAATACTATTTAATCAATTGAGCATAAGTCTTTTTTCCAACAACAAAAATGTTCCCAAACTTTTGAACAGTATTTTCACTTAATAAATCTGTCAATTTAATATGTACAACAAATTAAGTAAAAAAAAAACATTTTTCAGAATTGCATAATCTAAAAATGTATCAAAATATTTTTTCAGAATTACATAATTAAAAAAAATGATCACACCAGTAATATGATTCATACCTGAAAAAAATGATAACCTAAAAATGGTAATACCTAAGTAAACTCAGTCAACCTGATACATTAATTTATAACAACAAACCCACATTGTATGGGTTACTTTAAGTAGCTCTTTACAGGAACGATTGCAAGTCGCCACTTTAATGATGGAAACTTTACAGTGTATAGTGTAAGCTAAGTATTATAGTTGAATGATGTACATTGGTATGAAAGCATTATGCACAGTACTGTGATGGTTTGATGATATTACTATTATAAGATAGTATCTTATGTCGTAATATGATACTCTTATCTGAAAGTCTGAAGCAGCTAGACTTTGTTTTGTTTCTCTTTTCCTCGGTCTCCATCTCTCTCAGTCTCACACACACATCCCCGATCAATAGTCATGTTTGAAACGCATTCCTCACATCTCAATGTCACCTCTGCCATCTCCATATGCTCAGTCATGACTCATGACAGCTCCTGGCGTTATGCACATGACTGATGCGTGTTTGCAGCACGCAGTATTAATTGTGAGGGAATGAGACGCGCGTAACGCGTGAGAATATTCGCACCTCAGCGGGATGTCTAAGGTGTTTTGAGGGATGCGAGGTTATCCCGAAGAACACTTGCCATCTCTCGGACAGAAACCCAATAGAAAAGCGTTTTCTCTACGTAATGAATATTAGCTTTCAAAATGTTGGAATCGGTATGAATTTTGTCTTGAAAGAATTTTTTTTATTTAGTCAAGACATTAAATTGATCACACTGTAAATGCTAATAACAGTATTATGTTACGATTTCTATTTCAAATAAATTCTGTTCTTTTTAAACGTTCTATTCATCAAAGAATCCTGAAAATAAAATGTATCATGGTTTCCTCAAAAATGATAAGCAGCACAACTGTTTTCAACACTTATAATAATAAGAAATATTTCTTGAACAGCAAATCAGCATATTAGAATGATTTCTGAAGGATCATGTGACAAATTATGTTAACATATATGAAAATAGAAAACTTTTACATTTAAATGATATTTCGCAATAATACTATTTAATCAATTGAGCATAAGTCTTTTTTCCAACAACAAAAATGTTCCCAAACTTTTGAACAGTATTTTCACTTAATAAATCTGTCAATTTAATATGTACAACAAATTAAGTAAAAAAAAACATTTTTCAGAATTGCATAATCTAAAAATGTATCAAAATATTTTTTCAGAATTACATAATTAAAAAAAATGATCACACCAGTAATATGATTCATACCTGAAAAAAATGATAACCTAAAAATGGTAATACCTAAGTAAACTCAGTCAACCTGATACATTAATTTATAACAACAAACCCACATTGTATGGGTTACTTTAAGTAGCTCTTTACAGGAACGATTGCAAGTCGCCACTTTAATGATGGAAACTTTACAGTGTATAGTGTAAGCTAAGTATTATAGTTGAATGATGTACATTGGTATGAAAGCATTATGCACAGTACTGTGATGGTTTGATGATATTACTATTATAAGATAGTATCTTATGTCGTAATATGATACTCTTATCTGAAAGTCTGAAGCAGCTAGACTTTGTTTTGTTTCTCTTTTCCTCGGTCTCCATCTCTCTCAGTCTCACACACACATCCCCGATCAATAGTCATGTTTGAAACGCATTCCTCACATCTCAATGTCACCTCTGCCATCTCCATATGCTCAGTCATGACTCATGACAGCTCCTGGCGTTATGCACATGACTGATGCGTGTTTGCAGCACGCAGTATTAATTGTGAGGGAATGAGACGCGCGTAACGCGTGAGAATATTCGCACCTCAGCGGGATGTCTAAGGTGTTTTGAGGGATGCGAGGTTATCCCGAAGAACACTTGCCATCTCTCGGACAGAAACCCAATAGAAAAGCGTTTTCTCTACGTAATGAATCCCCTCCTCCTCCTCCTCCTCCTCCTCCGACATAACGGAGCGATGCTGGCGTTCATACTTCAATCGAATCGCGTCTAATCGAATCGCGGCTTCGGCACGATGGAGACGGAGTCCCTGGAGTGATTTGAAGGGGGAAGCCCTCAGCACAACACGATAGATACACAATGCACTCCTCCTGTCGCGAATACGATGCCTTTCTCTGGACGTTTGGACTCATAATATCACCTCGCTGAGCGATGATGCTCGTGTTACGGCTCGCATTTGCTCATCGTCCGCTTTATTCGCGAAAGAAGCAGCAGAACGGATGCTTGACCACTGCGAAACTGCCTTCACGCTTTAAGCCTCTTCTGATTATCGGCAAAGGACACATTATCATAACCACAAGGGCCAGAGAGACACGATTAAAGTTTCAACGATGTAAATCGAGGTAGGTTAGCCCTTGGATACGTGCATTTCATCACTGCTTCTTCTCGCTTTCATTCCACCAATTATTGGCTTAATCGGTGTTTGCTGTTATTTTGGTAATTGCATCACTAAATCACGAGCTGTAGTGGTGCTGACATGCTTTAATCAGAAGGCACCACTTCATCCAATAGCTCCTCTAGGCCTGGGAAAGACACGTCTTCCATTTTCATATGTATAGTCAATATTACAGTGCGCATCTGATGTTGTGTTGATGAGGAATTTTGGTCATTTCTGACGAGTAAGAAAATCTGGTTGTAAGTGGGTTGGAGCTTAGAGGAGAGCGTCAAAATGACACGAAATGGTTCCATCGCCATGTATTTTGGCTTTCATGTTGCCTGAATGTGTTCCGTCTGATTAAGTTCTCCGCTAAACTTCTGATAGTGGCATCTACGAACTAGGTCCATTGTAGGTCTTTGGGCACGTGGTCAACACACCAAATCCAAATGAGCGCTGATGTGATACGTGCCTGATTCAAATCAGTTCAATGAGCCAATGACTCGTTCGTTAGATTTATCGGGTTCAATCTGGAAGACGTGGACACATCACGCACTGAAGGTTGAGAAACGCTCGATTAGCATGACCAGAATTTCCCTTCAGCTAGCATTTAAGAGTAACCTGTTACTACATGATTTGAAGACAGCAGAGGAGGAGCTGAGATGAGCTTGGCTGGTAGTAAAATATGTTGTTTTACATATAGGCGTAAATAGTATGATCCAATTGTGTTTTCAAAAACGTAACACAAAAGTTGGATCAGTCGATGGATCGCCTTGCTTGATGAGGTAACCATAGCAACAGCACTACTGTTGGGTCGCTCTCGGACGGTACGTTGACAAAACATAAGGGATTGTTATTATTCTTCATTTATTATAGGTTTAAAAATATAATACAAATGTGTTAATGTTTTAAAAAGTCTTTAAGACTTAGCTAACTGCACTATAGCACGAACGGATAGTCCTACAGCACGAGAACCTCAGGAAAATACATAAATTCGTTTAAAAAGTCGGTAGCACTTCACTGTGAACTTAAGCAATATTAACAAAAATAAATAATGTGAAGTCTTCACATTTGTTCTTTTCGTTAACATTGCTTAAGTACATTAGTTAACATGAACTAAACATGAATAATGAATTCTGATGCATTAATGTTAATTTCAACATTTAGCTATATTGCTAAATGTTAATGTATAAAGTTTTTTATAATATTAGGTAATATTATATTATGCTGACTGTATTTTTTAAGGCTACCTAAAATATGCATCATGACATAACATACAGTACATAAAATTTTATTTATGTCAAAAGTATTATTTAATATGACTCTATGTGATTAGAGTATGGGGACAGATCAGGTATAGCGTAACTCCTTAAAAGAAGCAATGCAAGTTTTTACTTTTTAATTCACGTTTCAGTTATATTCAATTCACATTTATTTGTATAGGGCTTTTCACAATAAGTATTGTTTCAAAGCAGCTTTGCAGAAAGTACATATTTTAAAATCAAGGGTAAAATGTTATCAGAGGTGACTGTCAAGGTAATGTCTATACGGCAGACCGTACAGATATCATGCATATAATACAATCATGCAGTTAGTTAATATATTATTATGTATGTATTATAAATTTAAGCACTTTTTATAGTGTAAAGATTTCCAACGCGTTTTGCTATTTATTCTTAGATTAATCTCCATTAATAAATATTATATAATGTTTAACAGATCAGTAGCTCAAGTCTTGGCTACAAAAAGCTATTAAATATTTCCATCTTTATTGTTCACAAAAAAAAAACATGCAGATCAATAAACACGCATTGACCTCTTGCATGCCCCAGTAGTTTTCACAATAGAAACTTTCCATTAAATAATCTACAGTAGGCTTTTCAGCTAAATAACAACATTAAAATAATTATTTAAAAAAATGGAAAACAGCAAAAAACTACCAGGCAACACACAAAAAAAGTATTAATTATTATTATTATTATTATTAAAAAATAATGATAATTTCAGGCAGTTAACCACTACTAGTGAAAACGCATAGACTTTCGACTTTGTGAACTTCCTGTGATTAACTACAGATCATTTAAATTAAATTTGTTATAAAATTTTATATTGACATTTTTCTATCAATATATTGGATGTTTTTTGTTTATTTTTGAAAATATTTTAAAAAATATATAAATATACATTTTTAAATCATTTAAAAATATATTTTGTCACATTTAAAGAGAAACCTCATTTGTTCTCTATAACGTGAAAGCATATAACACATTTGAATAAAAATCAACGAAGAGCGACTTTACAATGTTCCAAAAAATATATATACAATATATGAAAAAAAGAACATTATTAAATTATTTTAAATCTAGTTTTGATCTCTAATAAGCAATTTGATCCTCATTTGTATTTAGCCTAAATATAGAAATATATTTTCTTGCCTTTAAAGTACATTTTGAAATATGTTTTGGTATATGAAGGTTGAAAATAATATTTTCTTTCAAAAATGTATTTCATTGAGCTTCACTGTTTACAACATATTTAGCATACATTTAAAATATTTTTGGAAATTTTTTCCCACCATATATGATTATCAATTTAAAGGCATAGTTTGATTTGTGAAATGGTTAATTAAAACTGGTTCATTACAAAGAATCGACTCTAAAGAATGATTTGTTTCGTGATTCGTTCATGAATCTTCAGACATGTTCTCAAATGTCAGTCATTCAACATAGTAGTTTTTTAGTTAAACTCAACATGATCACTGTATCTAAAGCTATTCTATCTATTTTCATCTTATTGTGAACAATTTATCTTTTTTTTTACCTTATTCTAACAATCGACTGCAAGCTCGCATTCAGATCCTACCTCCATCCATCCTACAACCTCGTCTTGATAATCTGTTACACTCAAATGTAGGTCACAATACGGAAGAAAAGATCTGTCGCTACTTCGGTTTCATTGTGACTTTCATACCTCACAGAAGGGGCAAGATTAGCAACTTAAATATAATCTTTCGTACATATCATAAGATTTAAAAAAACATAGATTATAGTGCACAATTGCTACTGGCTACTTTTTTAATAGGTTATTGTTATTTTTGGAGCCTGACAGTGTTTGTCACTATGGGCTGTTGAAAAGATACTTCAAAATATCTAAAAAGAAATTCTCAGGGAAGAAAAAATATTTTTCTATAATCATGATTTTCATGTTGGCATAAACTACTCCTTTACACCCTCTAAATGGAGATTTGTTTCCTCTCCAGGTTTACCAATACATCTTGTTCAGATATCAAATATTCTGTTAAATGGAGTATGTAGCATTGCTGAATCGTAGCTTTAACAGTTTCTTCGCTTTATTTAAGTCACAGGTCACTGGTAAAACTGTGAAGTTAAGCGAGTATTTGATTTCATAACAGATCCAATATCTCCCTTCATTGATTTTATTGCATAAGCGACAATTTCATCGCTCCACAAGGATAACTGTGTCACGACTGAACTAGATGTTCATGCGTTCATAAACACATGGTGGTGAATTTCAATTTTAACACACACACACAGTAGTTGCCAATAAGTCTTCATATTAATTAGTACTTTATATTAAACTGTGTTTAAAAATAGTATTTTTATCTGGTTTTCTTCTCAGGTCTGGTATGAGTGAAGTCGCCTCCGTCTAGCACAAACTAGAGCTCACATTTGAGAGAGTCGAAAGACGACGTCCGTTCAGAGTTTGCTGCGCACCACACCATGAGCCAGCCACAGTGAGTGTGCAAGCTACGTCCTACCTGCTTTATACTGATGTGGAGTGGAGTGTGAGAACACTGCTGTGTGTATCGTGCACAGGAGAGTGTGTTAAATTGTGTTTGTGTGTGTGTTTACTCTACACTAATTATGCGTTAAGCAATGTATTGTTTAGACATTACTGTCCCCTTTATTTTGTTTGAATACTTTTTGGAGTGAAGATTTGTTCGTGTTACATTTGTCCGAGAGGTTTTTGGTTTATCTAATTTTTTAGATTGTGTTATTCGAACATGAGTTATACAATGATTTGTCAACAAGTCTGGTCCTACCAAAAATAGGTCACAAATTCACTATTAATAAATTGGTACGACTATATATTGTGGTTACTGCTGTATATATCATATCATAATATGGCGATTTAATATGTATCATAATAAATATACTAATCAAAAATAGATGCACTGCTGTTCAGAAGTTTGTGGTCAGTAAGATTTTTTAAATGTTTTGTTTTTATTCTCTTATGCTTCCCAAGGCATTTATTTGATTAAAAATACAGTAAAAACATGTTAAATAGTATTACAATTTAAATGAACTGTTTTCTATTGTAATATATTGTAAAGTGGAATTTATTTCTCTGATCAAAGCTGAATTTTCAGCATCATTACTCCAGTCTTCAGTGTCACATGATCCTTCAAAAATCACTCTAATATGCTGCTCGAGATAACATACTATCCATGTTAAAAACATAATATTTTTGTGGAAACTATGATGCATTTTTTCAGGATTCTTTGAAGAATAGAAAAAAGCAGCATTTATTTGAAATGGTAGGACTTGGAAAAATTCAAGTCTGATCAATTTAATGCATCCTTGCCAAATAATTATTAATTAAAGAAGTATTGCTGAAGTATTAATTTCTTTAAAAAAACGCTGTAGCTAATCCAAGTGATGATAGTAGTAGACGTAGAGGAGTGGGATGACTTTTTTCCTTTATAAGGTAGCCTAATTTTACATTTTTACAATGTTTTTGTAATGTATTCATTATCACGGGCTGTAAAAAAACAAGTAGGCCTATACTAATACTAAGAGTAGATTTGGTTCGAATAGCCAATATTTTAGTAGGCTATAAATATGTGGCTATGTTACAGCTCCCCTTTGAAGCTCTTGTGTTTTTCTCCTTTTCCATCTGTCCAATCCTATTCTGCTCACAGGTGATTGGAGATGAGTTTTGTTCCTGCTTTGTTGCAGTTTGCTGATTTTTGTAAAATAACTTATGTTTTTGCTTTTCAGATAAAAGGCTAGTTTCAGTTTAATATGTTGCAGGCTCATTTATTGGTAATAAATAATTGATAATAAATAATACTGATGATAATAAATTATCAAAAAATATTGGGATTGTTTTGGGCTTGTTTTTGAAGCTGTGGTTGCTTATTTGTCTCGCGAGAGTTGGCAACAGTGATTAGGACTGGGAAGTATTTAACAATAATAAAGCAAAAAATGACATCACCTACAGATAGACATTAAAGGGGTCATATGATGCGATTTCAAGTTTTCCTTTCTCTTTGGAGCATTACAAGCTGTTCCTATCATACATGCGGCGCAAGGCGTGGCGGAAGTGTTTTTGCTAGTTTCAGCCCGACGCAGTTCTCATTTTCCTGTCCTGAACCGCGTTGTTTAAATAGCAAATGCATTTGTGCCCATTTGTATGCCCATGGGCGTGCTGGTCTAAAAAAGAGGTGTGTTCAGGCGCATTGTTGGCACGTTGCTATTTTGAGGAACTGAAAATAGACTGCGCCATAGACCAACTCAAACCTGGTCTAAAGTCTGGCGCAATATTTTTTCTTTGTTATTTAAAGAGCGCGTTAGTAATATGCCTATAGGTGGGTGCACAACGCGCGTACACTTTGCTTATTACCTACACAGGTACGCGCAGCAGCACACAAACATTTAAAAAAATTAAACATTACATTCTGCCATGTAAATAGCGAACCCGCCATGGCGCGAGCGCAACTGGCTTTTAAAGGGGATGGGAGATGAGACTCTTACTGGTTTATTGCACGTTACGCCCAAAAAACACCCATTACTCATTAGGAGAATAGGAACAACCCGTTTAGACCATGCGCCCAGGCGCGCTGACCATTTTCCCGTCGTTAAACTAGCAAAAGTGGATTCGGACACGCCCTGAGTGCACCTGCACCGTGCGCTTTAGACCATGCGCTTAGATCGTTAAAATAGGGCCCTAAGACATCTTTCTTGACAAGGTCAGTCCAGCATATGAATGTTCTTAATTGACCCGTCGTCTTCAGCAGCTGAAGCCACAGCGCATCTCACTCGAGATCCATGTGTTTGCTCTGCAGCAGGAGGAGTGTGATATCGTAATTTATAGCCACACACTGTTCTGCAGTCAGCACTCAGCGTGTCCTCAGACTCATGTGGAGAATGCGAGATCCTATTTGCCCTTTCCACATCCTTCCAGCCCACAACTGTTCCAGGATCAGCAGCACAGATGCTGACTTTGCCTTCTTAGGTGAAGTCTTCATGATGCAACTTTTGCATTACATTCTCTCTAGCTCAGCATCAGGCCACCTTACCCAATTTAATTTGATGCAAACGAAAATAAGTATGTTAGGTATATATCTATTATGTATATTGCATTATCATGTGGCTGGTGTTGATCACTAAGTCTCTGAAATGCTAAGTTCATTGTGGACTTCAAACGTGGACTTGTGAAAATTATGCAGTACAATATAGTGAACAAGGAAAATGTCATTCATATTCATAGGTATTTGTACGTAAAATGCATACATACATTTTTGTTCATTCGAATAGGCACTGAAACTATAATAGCAGCCTGTTGTCTGTGTCTAAAATGTAAACTTGTACTTACAACAGAGACATATAGATGTTTATGAAACTTTTGATGTACATGATATTGCATAGAACTTGACCGCATCTAAAATGTAAACCCTTTTACATATGCATAACTTTAGCGATGTACAAATGTTTACAAATCCTTTAATGTTCATGATGTTGATAACCGCACGATAGCATCATATCAAATGTGCCTAAACCGTAAACACTTTCATGTATGTACAACTTTACAGATGTAAAAAAGTTAACAAATCATTTGATCTTATTGATAATCGTACATTAGTATCATATCAGTGTCTAAAACGTAAACTATTTTATGTATGTACAACTTTACAGTCATGCAATAGTCGTACAATAGCATAATTTCTTTCACGTCTAAAACGTAAACCTTTTTATGTACAGCTTTTCAAACAAACAAATGTTTACAAATCGATTGACAAGGATGTTTCTGATTTAGCATTGTGTCAACAGTGATTAAAACAGAAACCCTTTTATTTACAACTTTACAACTTTTATATTTATTGTGTATTATGTTCATGATATTTTTGCTAAAACCATTTACAAATGCATACATTTAAATGTTTAAAAATCCTTTAATGTACAATAGCAAAGCATTGACAGCACGTAAACACTTTTGTGTATTGTGACGAGCGTCCCGAAGCTTCATCAGCGTCGCCCTGGAAACAAGCGAGGAGCACCTGGCCATCATCATCACAGGCTGATCGGTGACAGCTGCACCTCATCAGGCGGCGGCTACATAAGCCACGCAAGCCCTGCCATCTAGGAGATTCCTCCATGAGACTGAGCACTAACGTGCCCTCTCATTTTTCCCACAGAAAGCAGCGTGTGACCGACCAGCCCCACAGGAGCACTGCACGGACCCTCTGCACTGGGTCCAGAGGTGGAAGTGAAAGTGAATGGAAAGCCGTTCCGGGCCATTCTGGACTCGGGCAGTGCGGTCACTCTGGTCCAATCGCAGATTCTCGCCCCCCGAACAGAATATAAAGCCTTCCTCCCCATAACCTGTGTCCACGGGGATACACGACAAGTTCCCGCTCGC